ACACGGCGTTGATTTTTTTTTACAGGGAAACAAGCACAAACCAACACGGCGTTGATTTTTTTTTACAGGGAAACAAGCACAAACCAACACGGCGTTGATTTTTTTTTACAGGGAAACAAGCACAAACCAACACGGCGTTGATTTTTTTTTACAGGGAAACAAGCACAAACCAACACGGCGTTGATTTTTTTTTACAGGGAAACAAGCACAAACCAACACGGCGTTGATTTTTTTTTACAGGGAAACAAGCACAAACCAACACGGCGTTGATTTTTTTTTACAGGGAAACAAGCACAAACCAACACGGCGTTGATTTTTTTTTACAGGGAAACAAGCACAAACCAACACGGCGTTGATTTTTTTTTACAGGGAAACAAGCACAAACCAACACGGCGTTGATTTTTTTTTACAGGGAAACAAGCACAAACCAACACGGCGTTGATTTTTTTTTACAGGGAAACAAGCACAAACCAACACGGCGTTGATTTTTTTTTACAGGGAAACAAGCACAAACCAACACGGCGTTGATTTTTTTTTACAGGGAAACAAGCACAAACCAACACGGCGTTGATTTTTTTTTACAGGGAAACAAGCACAAACCAACACGGCGTTGATTTTTTTTTACAGGGAAACAAGCACAAACCAACACGGCGTTGATTTTTTTTTACAGGGAAACAAGCACAAACCAACACGGCGTTGATTTTTTTTTACAGGGAAACAAGCACAAACCAACACGGCGTTGATTTTTTTTTACAGGGAAACAAGCACAAACCAACACGGCGTTGATTTTTTTTTACAGGGAAACAAGCACAAACCAACACGGCGTTGATTTTTTTTTACAGGGAAACAAGCACAAACCAACACGGCGTTGATTTTTTTTTACAGGGAAACAAGCACAAACCAACACGGCGTTGATTTTTTTTTACAGGGAAACAAGCACAAACCAACACGGCGTTGATTTTTTTTTACAGGGAAACAAGCACAAACCAACACGGCGTTGATTTTTTTTTACAGGGAAACAAGCACAAACCAACACGGCGTTGATTTTTTTTTACAGGGAAACAAGCACAAACCAACACGGCGTTGATTTTTTTTTACAGGGAAACAAGCACAAACCAACACGGCGTTGATTTTTTTTTACAGGGAAACAAGCACAAACCAACACGGCGTTGATTTTTTTTTACAGGGAAACAAGCACAAACCAACACGGCGTTGATTTTTTTTTACAGGGAAACAAGCACAAACCAACACGGCGTTGATTTTTTTTTACAGGGAAACAAGCACAAACCAACACGGCGTTGATTTTTTTTTACAGGGAAACAAGCACAAACCAACACGGCGTTGATTTTTTTTTACAGGGAAACAAGCACAAACCAACACGGCGTTGATTTTTTTTTACAGGGAAACAAGCACAAACCAACACGGCGTTGATTTTTTTTTACAGGGAAACAAGCACAAACCAACACGGCGTTGATTTTTTTTTACAGGGAAACAAGCACAAACCAACACGGCGTTGATTTTTTTTTACAGGGAAACAAGCACAAACCAACACGGCGTTGATTTTTTTTTACAGGGAAACAAGCACAAACCAACACGGCGTTGATTTTTTTTTACAGGGAAACAAGCACAAACCAACACGGCGTTGATTTTTTTTTACAGGGAAACAAGCACAAACCAACACGGCGTTGATTTTTTTTTACAGGGAAACAAGCACAAACCAACACGGCGTTGATTTTTTTTTACAGGGAAACAAGCACAAACCAACACGGCGTTGATTTTTTTTTACAGGGAAACAAGCACAAACCAACACGGCGTTGATTTTTTTTTACAGGGAAACAAGCACAAACCAACACGGCGTTGATTTTTTTTTACAGGGAAACAAGCACAAACCAACACGGCGTTGATTTTTTTTTACAGGGAAACAAGCACAAACCAACACGGCGTTGATTTTTTTTTACAGGGAAACAAGCACAAACCAACACGGCGTTGATTTTTTTTTACAGGGAAACAAGCACAAACCAACACGGCGTTGATTTTTTTTTACAGGGAAACAAGCACAAACCAACACGGCGTTGATTTTTTTTTACAGGGAAACAAGCACAAACCAACACGGCGTTGATTTTTTTTTACAGGGAAACAAGCACAAACCAACACGGCGTTGATTTTTTTTTACAGGGAAACAAGCACAAACCAACACGGCGTTGATTTTTTTTTACAGGGAAACAAGCACAAACCAACACGGCGTTGATTTTTTTTTACAGGGAAACAAGCACAAACCAACACGGCGTTGATTTTTTTTTACAGGGAAACAAGCACAAACCAACACGGCGTTGATTTTTTTTTACAGGGAAACAAGCACAAACCAACACGGCGTTGATTTTTTTTTACAGGGAAACAAGCACAAACCAACACGGCGTTGATTTTTTTTTACAGGGAAACAAGCACAAACCAACACGGCGTTGATTTTTTTTTACAGGGAAACAAGCACAAACCAACACGGCGTTGATTTTTTTTTACAGGGAAACAAGCACAAACCAACACGGCGTTGATTTTTTTTTACAGGGAAACAAGCACAAACCAACACGGCGTTGATTTTTTTTTACAGGGAAACAAGCACAAACCAACACGGCGTTGATTTTTTTTTACAGGGAAACAAGCACAAACCAACACGGCGTTGATTTTTTTTTACAGGGAAACAAGCACAAACCAACACGGCGTTGATTTTTTTTTACAGGGAAACAAGCACAAACCAACACGGCGTTGATTTTTTTTTACAGGGAAACAAGCACAAACCAACACGGCGTTGATTTTTTTTTACAGGGAAACAAGCACAAACCAACACGGCGTTGATTTTTTTTTACAGGGAAACAAGCACAAACCAACAAGGCATTTACTTTTTTTTTACAGGGTAACAAGCACAAACCAACACGGCGTTTACTTTTTTTTTTTATCAGGGAAACAAGCACAAACCAACACTGCATACATTTTTTTCTTTTTACAGGGAAACAAGCACATGACCATTGCATTGCCATGTTATACTAGTAAAGCTACAGGAACAATTGATAAAATCTTGTTTATAATAAAATGGGTACAGACATCTCACCTGAGTAGCGAAAAATCCTTTTCTTTTAAAATAAAATGGACAGGTTTCATGCAGTGTTTCTGAAACAAGGAAACACTCTATCAATATCCACAAACTCATCGCTACAACAAAAGATAAAGTGCAGTAAACATATTCATGTAGTACCTCCTTTGATGATGTAACAGATTTTGATATCCTCACAAGGAATATATGGCTGTGTGCACTCAAACCAGAGCTGACCTTTGACGTAAACACGAGCATGATATCCGAAACGAGCAACTGTGAACACTAAATAACAAAAAGTTTCAAAGTTACAAAGGCTATATAAAAAAATGGCATTATACAGTTTTAATAGTGAGCTCAAACATTATTCCAAGTTGCTATGCATTGTATGCACTTCCCACATGTCTTGGAAAATCTGGAAAATTGATGGCTAATTTTCCAGTCCTGAAAAACACATGGAAAATGAGACAATGTAACTTTTTACTTGACTTTTTTTTTAAAAGCAATGCTTAATTATATTTGAAGGATACCTGCTAATTTATTATTTTCTTTCATATTATGATTAACATTAATAATGAACACATTTAATTTATTTTTGTGTTCAATTAGTTAAATAGTTTAAACATTTTTGCTATGGTACTTAAATTGGTTCTGAAAATCAGTTGTTGGAATGTATAATTAAGAGCTTTATTATAGTTATGTCATGGCCATAAACTGTAGGACTTTTAAAGACCTCCGGAGAGAGGAATATATTACTTTAGGGTGTGATCCTTGTCTTTTATACTCGCCATAATTAAATTACAAATGTCCTAGAAAAGTCCTGGAAAATGATCACTGAAAAAGAGTGGGAACCCTGATAATGTATATGCATTACATAATGTAATGATTCTTGAGTTGGCCTATTCGATTTCCATCAACTTACTTGGGATTACTGTGTAAGTCATAATGTAATGGGTCACTTCTTGAGAGCAGGGGGAAGCAGTCACTGACAAGTAATACAATGGCCCTGATTAATGAGAGCGCAAAGAAAATTATGGAAAGAGTAAAAATACCTTCTAGCAATCACTGTGCAAAACTAGTACACATGTGTAGCTTATAGGTTTAAGATTCAAAAAGGACATGGTAATGGGGAAAATGTTTTTACATTCTCTCACAAAACTTTTGCATTTCCCCGAGAAACTTTGCATTCACTCTCAAAACATCTGTGCAGGAAATACAATGAATGTGGGAGGAAAACTATATTTCAATGCTTTAGCAAGCAAACGGCAAGTTTTTCGTGAGAACGCAATACTCTTGCATTTAAATCCAAAAGCATTTAAATATAATTTTCCCACCCATCTCATATTTTTTGCATCACCATTTCCGTTTAGTATCTAAATAACAAATTATTAGTAAAATTAGTTATAAGTAATAGTCTTGTTAGAAACGTTTCTCTATGTAAACATCTGTGAACACATCTTTCTTTTGCTGATAATGATTTAAACCACTGAGTCAGTTGAAAATGTCAAATACTAATACAGGCTTTGAATAGATCAAACAGAATAATTCTGCAATTAGAGTTAAGTATAACAGCACATTAACAAAAATGTTATTCAACTCACCTTCATAGCTGTACCAAATGCTACTATGCTCTGAGGAGCAGAATAATCTTCTCTCTGCAAAGGCAGAAGACACACGAGGTAATGCTACAATATAACAAAAAAAACTGATATTACTGATCTGAAATTATTATGTGTCACAGTAATGCCGTGCACTTAACTTCCCCTTTAGATAGAATGGTCACAGGCTGTACCTCTATAAAAAATAGTGTGAGAATAAGGAAGTACAAGAAAATAGAAGTTAGACGATGAAAGATGTAGAATAATGCAACAAGCAGGGAATTCAGACAGGGAGTGCAAATGTTAAATATGACTTCTCATTTATTTACACTCTCGTACAAGTTTCTGCATCACAACTATACTGGATGACATACCAGCCTGTCAATATGTAATACATTACAACGGTCCATTGAAACGATGAAAAGAAATTCCTAGTAGACATCTTGGTTGCCCACCAGCACTGGACAGACTTAGCTTGGACAAGTTAACTTTTATCTGGTTTGTTCAGGTCATCTGTGTCAAAAGAAAAGGGCTGGTCATAACCCATGAGGTGGTTGTAGTCGTGGGGCAGAGGAAAAAGCATTGGGTTGACCAGCAGTGAGCGTTTCTTGGCATAAAAACTGGTGAACATCCGACTGACATCAGGGATAACGACATCACTCTGATGGAACACAGTCCGTTTCTCCATTAGAAGGGCGCTGTAAGTGATGGCCGTGTACATGTCTGTCTCCTTGTTGTGGTACAGGCGTACTACATAACCTTTGGTGATCAAGTGGAGGAGAACAGGAGTCAGAAATGTGAAGAAACCTATAATGCCACAAAACACCGCTTGCAGTGCCAAGCTGTTTACACCTATGCCTGTTTTCAGGAGGACATATGGCATCACACAGAGACTACACATGCTGCTGGAGTAGGAGAAAAACTTCACACCTACAACAAAAGAGCAGATTTAACTCATTAGAGTATTTTAGAGGTCTAATGTAAAGAAATTCACTGCAGCATTTGATAATTGTGTCTGTTTGGTAGTTTATGTGGTGTTTTACAGGTATAAATGCTGCATGTTCTTTAAGCCAGGTAATTTACCAAGGACAACTTTTCCCAGGTTGCCTGCGTAGATCAATTCTCCATCTTCAGGCTGGGCTGGTAAGGGTTTATACCATCTAACAGCACAATATGGTTGGACCTACGGAGATACAAATCTATTAAAAGTAGCACTTCTGAACACTGAGATACAAAAACCCCTTCTCAGTTAAGTATAGATGTTTTTTTTTCTTCAGATTTTAGATTCAAATTGTTAGATTGTTTGTTTTTTTTATAGAATAAAATTAATGCACTAATAAAACATTACATTAATAAACATTAATGTATTTTGAAAAATAAAGGGCATTTTTAAAAGCTGCAACTGTTAAGCTTTTCGAGCACTATAAATATAATGTCATAATCATTTTTGAAAATAGCACCTAATTAGATCATGTGGATCTAAATATATTTTAAATAGCCTATATTTACATTTTCTTACGTTTACATTTGATATATTTTTACATTTTCTTTTGATATGTTTCTGCAGGACAGGACAATTTCAATTCATTTTTTTTAAATTACTGTATATTAGAAATTGCTCAAATAAATACATTTAATTAAATTAAATAATAAACGTATTTGATGTTTTTGGACCGGATCTGTGGATCTGGTTGGACTTTTCTCTGCTCATTCAAATGATGAAAACATAAAAGAAATAACAACCGGCCTTTTTTGTCCAGTCATTGCATATTTGATAGTCTTCTACTAGGTAGGGTACCTTTTTTGCACGAGCTTTTAAAAATGACCTTCTTCGCATCTCATGCAGCAAATGATCCTGCCTCCTTAAAACCGCAGCATGAGTGTGGCAAATATTCCCATTGCTGTGTAATATCGGACGAACAGCGACTTGGAGATTTCTTATGATCTGTTGCTGGTTTTTTGACAGACGCCGAAACCCCTGTAAAATCCCAATCTGATACATGTTATCATGTGGCGTTTTCCTACTTCCTCAGACAGCAAGACGACTAACCACCGGAAGCAATTTGGTCTGCGAGCACACATGTAGTCCATCTGATTATAGACTGCGCAAAAAACATCACAGGTGTAAAGAAGTATATATCTTACACATTACACTTTAAAGACACTTCAACCAAAAACACACAATTCTGATGTGTTATTAATTATTAAAACATATTGAGGAGGACTCTTAGTTTGTAATATCTATAACGGAAGTGCATTGATTCTCTACCCGACAATTGTTTCCTGTTGTCGGCAGTGACAACAGAAGAAGCAGTTCTCAGAAGCTTATCGGAGAGAAAACTGAAAAAACTGCCCGGACCACCAGCTCGATCTTAGTGAGTTGAAACATTATATCGTTTATTTAATTATGACTATTTAATCTTGATTCGTGCGAGTGCTGTCTACTGGAATATTTGTTGAAAATGCGAGTTGTACGCTGTGCTTGAGCTAACTGGGAAGGTAATGATTTATTGTACTGCATGCATGGCCCAGACTCCCACAGGACTAGTGGAGCTGTTTTATTCTTGTGCCAAATGTCAGTCAATATTTATTTATTTAAAAAAAAACAATATCACACAATGTGACATTACTAAAGACTGAAAAATTAATTTGGAGTTGTGTGATATGTTGTGTGCAGTTTGCTGTACTATGTTTACTTGACACATCTGATTAGATTACACAGACAATTGGTTCTTGGTCAGCCATTTTCATGACCATCTATATGTGCTATTACTAACGCTGCTGCATTATATTTGTGTGGGGTTAATTTCTGTTCATTTAAAACGGTTCATTTCTTTCTTAATATTTCAGAGACTGAAAAGGGAAAGCAGTAAGAATGGGTAAGACATGTTTAAGTTTTTGTAAACAAATTAATTAATTTACTTATCCTGGACCTAGTCAGTTCGTGTTATTGGGAGAATAAACCAAATGGGACTTTTAAAAATACATTTCTTAGATTAAGGGATATAATACTGTTTTTTTTTTCTGCATGATGTTATGTTGGTGGTTTGAGGGTATGATCGAGTTAATACATTTTAGATGGAGAAGAAAAAACCTATGGTGGCTGTGAAGGGCCAGATGCCATGTATGTGAAATTGATCTCCTCTGATGGCCATGAGTTTATTGTGAAGAGAGAACATGCTCTTACATCTGGAACAATCAAAGCTATGCTTAGTGGTCCTGGTGAGTATTTGTTAAAAAAGGAATGAATAACAGTGGATTATGTTCATTTAAAATACATCTATCTATCTATCTATCTATCTATCTATCTGTCTATTAGAGTTTAAATTATTAGTGCTGCATTGTTTATTAGGTGTTATGTATTTTTTTTTATGTATTGTTGTTTTCCTGCATTGCTACTGTAGGATCCTTGTATTGTAATTGTGTATTTTTTTCTTTATTTATGTTTATCTTGATAAAGCATAAAAGTGAGAATAACATTGTTTTGTCTGTTTTCAGGCCAGTTTGCTGAGAATGAAACAAATGAGGTCAACTTTCGAGAGATCCCATCTCACGTTCTTTCTAAAGTGTGCATGTACTTTACATATAAAGTCCGCTATACTAATAGTTCAACAGAAATCCCAGAATTTCCTATTGCCCCAGAAATAGCTCTGGAGCTTCTGATGGCTGCAAACTTTCTAGATTGTTAAACGAAAAAAATGAAACGCTCATATACACGTCTGGATGCAGAATAAATATGAAAAGCAAAATATTACTGGTTTATTTTATTGGTTTCATACTTTTAGGTTTGCAAACAGAGATATGCTGTGCTGACTTAGAAGTATAACTGTTTTTGTTCATTTTTTTTATATTTAAAATGAAATTTTTTTTACAATTAGTGGATATCTAAGTTATTTTTATTTCACTTTTTATTGTTTTAATCTTTGACCCAGTATTAACTTGATAATTTCTGTGTTGCAAAATAAAGATGCCTGAAGTGATGCGCCCATATTTTAATGACTAGAGTCAACCAGACAGATGTAATTTTATAATGTATCTGTTTATGTTAACAAGTTCAAAATTCAGTTGAAATAGATTTATGCCTTTTCTGCATGTGGATTCATCAGACATAAGTCTTGTAATTGTCCACAGTAGTCATTTATCAGTTGTTTAATGAATAAAATCAGTTGTTCTTGAAAAGATTTTGTTTATTTCTTTCTGCTTTGTGGAGTACATATGTGCACGTAACTCTGGGACAGTTCACCCAAAATAAAAATTCTGTTATCATTTACTCACTCAAGTTATTCCATACCTGTATGAATTTATTTCTGCTATGGAACACAAAAGAAGATATTTTGAAGAATGTGGGCAACCAAACGGTTTCTGGTCCCCGCTGACTTGTGTGTATTGACCCCCCCCTTTTTTTTTCATATTGTTTTTCCATAGTATGAAAGTCAATAGGGGCCATCAAATATTTGGCTACCCACATTCTTCAAAATATCTTCTTTTATGTTTAACATGAGAACGGAAATCCTACAGGTTTGGAACAACTTGAGTCAGTAAATGATGACAAAATTTTTACTTTTGAGTGAACTGTCACTTTAAATCAAACAGTGACTTCAATTATTGGGCACAAAATCCTAAAACGAAGACCCCCAAATTAACAGTTTAAATTGAATATTTCTTCTGTTCTCCATGCATCTTTTTGCATTTTTGAAAGTTAATGACACCAAGGGATATTTATAGCTAGGTTTACTATGATATTAAAGGAATATCCTCTAGATATAAATGAGGAATTATCAAACTTTAAGACAACATCTAAATATACAATTTATTGATATATAATACATTTAAATGTATAAAATATTATATAACAATATTACATTAAAACATTCAATATTGTAAATAAAAATGTATTATTGGTCACTACAATGGTGTGATGCTTTTGAATGTTTCCTTTAACGTTTTTGTCTTTCTGCTGTTCACATTTAGCTGAAAGTGTTAATTGGCAAACTTCACTGAGACAACTTATTTATCCAATATAGCGGGGCACGTTGTCACAGAAGGTCAATGAACTTTATCTTTCTTCTGCTATAACAGGAAATGTACAATTGATTCAAGGTATGTACCCACATGAAATTTACTTTAAAAAAAAATAAACCCACCCTGAGCAATATTTACTGGAGTAAAAAGTGTAGCAACAAGCGCAGTCTCCCTATTTAAATGATGCCTAATTCGGGTTTGCACAAAACGTTACACTATAGTTGTATCGTATTTTCTTACGTAAAAAGGAGGATCTTTAGACTATTTTGGCTTATATAAAAGGATTTCAGCATGTTCACCTGTAGTACCTCCCCTAAATATTGTTGCATTGCGGTTCCGTGAAAAACCCTTATCAGACGTCATTCGGCCAATCGCCTTTCTACAGTGGTTTTCCAACATGGCGTCTATGCAGGTGAGTACCTCCTTACATAGGCTACTCAAGCAACTATTTTCAAATAACAGTATAAACTATTTTTCACACATAGCTGTGACACGTACCGGGTTTCGTCCAGTGTCCCTGCCAGTATTGATCTGAACCCAGGAGAGTAAGCTGTTTCATTTGTACGCACATTTGTTTACTTTGTAAGCTACCGTTCAGTCAGTCTGACAACCCAACAAACTCTGTGCTGTCACATCACATACTGTTGTGGCGGTGGAAGACGATCCTTATGAAAGCGATGTGAAACGGGAATTATGAAACAGAGTTCTTCCGGAGCTGTAAATAATTGTAATGGTGCTTAATCGCTAGCTTCTATATTAGTGCAACTCGTTTGTTTGACTAGCTCGTTGTTAGCAATCTGCTTGCTAGTTGTATTTTCAGTACTTTTCGTACACTATTTTTTTTTTGGTTTAATTAAGGTGAAGTGTTTAAAATCATACACTTTGTATTAAAATGGTGGATTAGTGGTTTAGAATGATGTAATGAGGGCTGTCCTGTTTTTACTGAGTTATCTATTAAATCAAGTTATTTTCGCTTTCCAGAAGCGATTACAAAAGGAATTGTTGGCATTGCAAAGTGATCCACCTCCTGGAATGACACTGAATGAGAGAAGTGTGCAGAACACAATCACTGAGTAAGTTGTGAAATGTGTAAAGATGTAAGATCGAGCAGTTGAGGCTGGATTATATTTTGACAACCTGCAACCTTTCCTTAAAGTTGGCATGAAATGAAAATGCATACATTTTCTAAATACATGTAATAGATTTTATCGTGAACAATTAGTCCATACACATTTTTAAATGTTTTGACCTCATAATGTTTAATCAGTATGTCAACTGGATCTTCCAGTGAAAATGACAGAATTGATGAAGTATGCAGACTTTTCCAAAAATGTAATCATCTTAAACCCCGCCCTTTCAAGCCCAGGTTTATCTTCCTCCACTTTTGAGTACAAAAGTACTTCTTCGGTTTCATTTACTCACACTTATGTCGTTGTAAACTCATGAGACTTTAATTCAGGGGTGGGCGAACTTTTTGATTTCGAGGGCCACATCAAGTTTTCCACACCAAGTGAGGGGTTAGGGGATAGTTATGTGTATGACAAATTAAGCTTTTTTTTATTATTAAATTGACCACTATACTGTATGTATACTTGTACATACATGGCAGTTCTATTCTTCTACCATCTGCCTTATTTTTTATGAGCACTTTATGACACAGATAAGTTGCATTGGTGTACAAGTCGATTGATGTATAAGACACATTTTATCATTTCATTCATAAATCATGTAAAATAAATGAAACATTTACAAACATTAGAAACCTGTATATATTCCCCTCACTCCACAAAAAAAAATCCTGTAAATTTAGCAGTGTTTAGAACAGAAAAAGGAACAAAAATATAAGTAAAAACAAACACAAATTATAGTGGCATTCACTATAAACATTTATTAAAAACTCCCAACCTAAATATTTTTAAAATGCTTTATGCTCTGTAGACCTTCCAGTAGGAGAACAGATGCCAGTGTTAGGCTATGACTTGATTGCTTTAAATAAGTCGCCTTGGAAATCGCAGCACGTTTCAGATGATTAAAATGTGATTTATAATCCAGAAAATAACTATATCCATTGTCATAAAAATATGTGTGGAAAACGTAATCTTTGCCAGATATAACGAAAAAATTATTTCCATGTTTTCCCCACAAAATTACAGTGCCTGTTACGTGAGCAGGAGGATAGCCTAACACTGGCATTTGTTCTCCTACTGGAAGGTCTACAGAGCATAATGGTCATATGATGCGATTTCAATTTGTCCTTTCTCTTTGGAGTGTTACAAGCTCTTGGTGCATAAAGAAGATCTGTAAAGTTGCAAAGACTAAAGTCTCAAATCCAAAGAGATATTCTTTATAAAAGTTAAGAGTCAGCCACACCTACCTAAAACGGCTCCTTCTAACACGCCCCCACATATCTACATCACGATGTGGGAAGATTTGCATAACGCCGCCCAAATGTTCACGCAAAGAAAGAAGGTGTAACTTTTATTCTCGCTGTAGTATTGTCGCCGCCGCCATGTCGTGAAGGCACTGTGTGCTTCGTAGTGAAAGCGAAACTACTTTGTTTGGCCTTCCAAAAGAGGAGGATATCTGCTTCGTCATGCCTAGAGCTGATCCGTGCTGGTCGCTGAGGAAATAC